GTATCTGTGTCGCTACAAGATTTACAGCTCGATTCCCTGCCTGGAAACAAAGGAACAAATAGCTGCATGTCACGCACTGAGCTGAAACATTATGGATTATATTATTACTCGAGTTTCTACAGGACTTCTCAGTGGGGGAAAAAAAATTCTATTAACTCTCTTTTACGACTACCAGCAGGGCAACGTGAAGAGAATAATCTCCTCCATTTATAAGGTCTGGAGGCCTTAAAACCTGAATAGCAGCCCAGGAGCTTTGTCACAAGGTCTGGCTGTTTCCTTCATAAAATTCCTATCTCTATTAATCTGTGTTTATTTTCCTTTTGCTTTTTAATTTGCTTAATGGACTTCAGCCGAAGTCTCTCCTAGAAGTCAGAGGAAAGTAAACTCTGATAAATCCTTTGGGACTTAATAGTCACAGTTAAGCACTTCTTTGGATTATTTTGTCTGACTTTCATCTTTGCTGCTGCAGAAATGCCGGCTGCCTAGTACCGCAGCCCTAACCCCATGACTTAAGAGCCTGGGAATGAACTGACAAAAGATATCCCTCTTTCTTTCTTCTTCTGCAGGCATGGAAATACAACAAGACTAGATTTCAACTCATAAAAGGCAACCGGGGTGTCCTCCACATGTCTGCCCCATGCAGAAAGCGGGGCAGGAGCTGCTGTGCGCCGTGCTGCAGCCGGGCTGAGTGCTGGGGGCACAGCCCCGTCGGGGCACCGCCAGCCCCCGCTTCTTGAAGCCGGGTACCCTCGCCGAACAGGAGGTACCAGCTGCTCCTCCATCGCGCAGCCTGGCACCCTCTCACCGCAGGTGCCGGCACGGATGGGGTAGGGAGGGGGCTGCAGATCCCAAGCCTCATGGGGAACCTGCGCTCTGGCAGCCCGTAACGGGCATCAGAGCCCTCCTGCAGGAGAGGAGACCTGTGACATTTCCTTGTTCCCAGTCCTCTTGCCATCATCTGCTCAATAATATTTCATGTTATTAATCTATTATTATTTTCTTTTCAATGGGCAGGCTTTGAATGACAGCCAACATCAGTATTTGTCTCTAAATACCTTTCTGATAGGAGTCCAAATCCTTTGTGTTCTAACTCATATATTACTTTCTATGCAGCAGATCTATTTTTTGCACAACATTTATTCTTCCAGGATCCACTTACTCAGAAATTGCATTGTATAATTAGGTCCCAACTGCCTATTTCTAATCCTGAACAAAGGTTCACATTATTGTTCATTTCAGCAATTCACATTTTCATTTTACTTCTTCCATGTATGATAGACATAATTAATTAGGTCCCATTCTGCCAACATTTCTATGTGCTTTGTCTAATGATCAGGCTTTTAAAAAAAACCTCCATGGTTTTACACATTGCTGGAGCAATTTACACATGTCCACTTGCAGTGAAACTATGGCATGAAGCAAAGGCAAGCACTAAAGAGCTGAGTTGCTCTGACTGACAAGCCCTGGGAGAGACAAATGATGAGCCCATTGACTTGCAGTTGAATTTTTACATATATTTTTGCCCAGTCTGCATAGACTGGGGGCAATGTGATCCTAAAGAAAATTTCCAGCCTCCTGATTTTGTTTGACCCACTTGGTAAAGCTGTCATCTATGAATGCATAGGCTTCTTTCTCAGAACCAGTGAATAGTTGACCATGGAGAAGGTAATTCTGGCCATTTTTAAGAAAACACACCATCATGTGCCAGAGGAAAAGCTGAGCCATTAGGCAGACCCCATATCACTGTAATATCCAGCCCTGACTGCTTTGCCTTGGATCTGTTTTTATTTCCTTGGTATAAAAGGGCTCAGTCCCCTACACGCTAACCATAAATCTCAGCAACACCTTCATTACAACATATCTTATCTGAATGTGCTTTCTTCTGGTACCAGGTGGTCAGCCACAGCACAGCTTCAACTCGCTGTTTGGTAGCATCGTCTGACAGAGCAGTAATGAGAGATTAGGAGATGGAAGTTAATATGGTGAGGGCATGTAATTATACAACTCTAGGGTCTGAAGACCTTATTTAAAAGAGCCATCCAGCACCTAGGGATACCAGCAAATGGACTGTGGTAGCATCACAAGGAAATGTGCTCTTGGGAATGGCTGAAGGCTTTGTCAAATGGTGGTGGCTCCCACCGTTGCTACACGGAGCGGGTAAACCTCGGTGTGCTTGAAATCAGGCACCTCAGGGTGTAGGAGAAACGTGTCTGGGAGAGCGCGAAGCCGGTCCAGATGCAAAACCCACCCAAGAAGCTGGTAAATACTCCGGTGGTTGCTGCTGCCGGCGAGCTCGCTGGCGGCGTGGCGGCCGCACCGCTCTGCAGGCACAGCAGGCACTGCAGGGGCTGAGCAGGCAGCTGCACAAGCTGATGCGTCTCCTGGGATCGGCTGGAGACGAATGATCAGGGATCCTATTTTGGAGCTCCCGGTGGTGGAACAAAGGCGGAGGCTGAGATCCTGTATCTGCTTCTGTGCAAGGCAGACTAAGCGAGGAAGAGCTGCAAAGCTTGGCCTGGGATGACAAAAGGCAGACTGGACCCTGCTCAGATGAGCCACTTTCCATGGGTGGACAGGAGCCCTTGTGGCTTATTAGTCTGGCTCGCTGATCCATGCCCTGATGTCTGGGATCCTGCTAATGAAATTATCACATCTAGTAAGAGTCAAAGCTGCTTTGTGGGAACCGTGAGTTTCCTGTCTTCTTTGCATTTGTGAAGAAAGGCTTTGTCGTGTTCCCAGGGTAGAAGTCACAATTTGCATTAGGAAAATATAAACAACGAAAAAGATGGGCCCCGTGATAGAGCCAGCA